TGGAAGCGATAAAATCAGTTGACTTTCAACGGCCTACACGGCGTTATACACTAAGAAGATAATACTCAAACCTTGTGAGCACTTTGTAGATTCTGTGTGTGCGCGCATGGGTGCGTGGGTGCGTGCGTTTGGTGATGAAGACACATTAACTGCTAACCGATACAGATCAAAATTATATTTGCCCAACAAATTTTATTGTGGAATTTCCATACACATTAAACTAAATCGCTGTCTATTATTGAGAAATCAAACATTCAAACATGCTAGAGCACTAGACCTCACTATTACAAGCTCACTTTACGCACTGAACGCATGGCTGTCATGATGCTCGGAACTTCTTCGGGGTTTTTAAAACTGTGGAGGTACATTTTTATACATCCCACAAGGCACTGCACTAACTCCACGTCACGGGGCTTTGCTGGAGAAGTTGGCAGTTAGTTAGCTACTCGTATATGTTCTGAATTCAGTGTTCTGTCACTAGCTTAGTGACGGTACACGGGGTTTGGATTGGTAATTGGATTTACTGAACTCTTAACAACTCGTAACTACAAGCAAGGATAATGCTCTTACTGTTCTACACACTATAGAACATACTAGGTCTTCTCAGTCTGCTACAGTCGTCACTAGCCGTTGTTTTATAGCGGCTTCCAACGGCGGATGTTCCCATTCTTCTGGGTTCCCGAAAGGTTCCTGGCCTCAGCTACCAGCTTCTCACAGCAACAGCTCACAAAGACTGACCTCCAGCCGTTCTATAACTAAATCATTAACTAACTTGTCCTGCTATTAACATCTCGGCACTTACCGCACAAGAAAAAAACACCATTCCTTTGTTGCTCTTTACGGACAGCTGCCTAGTGACGGCCGTTGTACAGTTAATTATTTCGCTGTCGTTGTATAACAACAGAACTGAATGCCACAGTTGTAATGGAACCCTAATATTCTTCGCTTTCTTGGCAGAATTCCGCAATTGAATCACATGTTCAGCCAGTTAAATCCATTTAACAATTTCAAGAACTACTTTTCTCAGATACACTCCGCATAAATAGGGTCCTATAATTTGTCCGAAGTGCAGAATTAATAAAGGGTTAATTGAAGGGGAAGCACAATAGATCAGTGATGGTCGCGGTGCAAAGTCCAAATTCATATGGCCCACCCTTACACATTCACGCCTAGTTTCCCTAAGTGAAATCTCTCTCTGTGTATCCAAATTAAACCTTGTATTCATTTCCTGTTTCCGTGTTTGTTGCATTCTCGATAATTCTAATTTTATCTAATGATTTCAGGCCGTGAACGCGCTCCAGTGTGACTCAGGGCACTGAAGATGTAAAAGGTGATAAGGAATTTAAGAGGGGGAATACGGAGAAGGGTAGGGGATTTTGAATAGGAAGAGGAGGAGTAGTAGTAGAAAACAATGGAGAAGAAGGAAGGGAAAAATGATAATAAGGAGAGGACAACAATATGGAGGAAGTGAAGTCTTCTTCCTGGTGCTTTGGTTTTGAAAATTTTCTCTTAGTAATATTTGTTGGTGAATACAGACCATCATTCTCAAGTATCTCAAGAAATATACTAGCTCTTCTGCTGTTTCCGAGAGGAGATCCACGTGCTCTTGACACGGCTTCGTTTGTGAGCACCAACACTGCAAAATGGCAGTCCACGATTCATGTTCGTATAAGACAGTCCTGTGGATTACGTTGCAGGGAACACCGCGGCCGGCAAGTTCAATTTCGTAGGGAGACCGGAAATCAGCGGAGCCACGACCGCTATTAACACTCATAGAAGCAGAAGTTGCCTTTTCGGTCAGACATGCACGCACGCACGCACACACACACACACACAAATGAATTGCGTAGAAACATATTATCACGCAATAGAGTGACCATAGACGGAGTTTTGGGTTGGCAATTGGGTTTATTGAACACTTACAAATCATAAGTATAAGTAACTTTAGCGCTATCGCCAATTCACGCACTCAGCATTTCACCAGAGCATGTACTAAGACTTCTCAGTCTGCTGTGTCTTCACCACTCGTTGCCTGGTAATGGCTTCCAACGCCGTAGATTCCTCAACTTCCATGGTCACGGCTTCGCTACCTGGTGACTGTCTCACAGCTCACTAAACTCTAGACTTGTCCTGCTCATAACACCTCGGCGCGGAGCGAACAGAAAACACCTCTTCCTGCGGCCCTCACCACCGATACTCCCGTGCGTCTGTCGGACCAACAGGTCGCTGCAGTAACGGGCTGCGAGCTGGACTACCGGGGTTCAAATCTTGGCAGGGGCAAGGTGTTTCTCTTCTTTATAATGTCCAGACCGGCTCTAGGGTCCACCCAGCATCCTTCCCAAAGGGTATTGGGGGCTCTTTTTCCCGGGGGTACAGCGGCAGGAGAGTGAAGTTGATCACTCAACTCCATCTAGTGCCGAGGTCAATCAATAATGGTAGAGTTATATTTCCGTTCCCTCATGTATCTTCATGGCATATCAACAGCTTTTCTCTACACACACACACACATATACACATGTACGCTGACTCGCTCTACTCACTTCAAGCCAGAAGAAGGAGGCAGCGTGTATCTCCGACATGTTGGGAGCACTGCCAACATCCACAAGGTTCAAAGACCCAAGAGCAGAATAAACATCTATGTAGTAGCATGTTTGAATATAGGAAAGTGCAATAAAAGAGGCAGCACCATTGCAGTCTGTAGAACACAGAACTGGTTTCTCGTGCTACTACAGTCCATACAAAGCAAATGCTGATCGCTTTGTGACGAAGCCACCTGTGCTTTTTCCGTGTGTATTAAGATTGAAAACCATGGATACGTAAAACCAAACACGACAGTTGACAGAACTGGACACAAATGGAAAATTGATGATGCTTGAAGTACGTGAGTGGAGCTGGATTGTTGTTTGTATAGCGGATGTACTTCAGAACTTTCACAAAGCTTGCTGCTGCTATCTGGTATGCAGTATCTAAATTACCAGTAGCTTCAGCACCGGCCTCGAAGTCTCCCTACCCTTGTGGCCAGGATAAAAAGTAGTTTCCAAGCGAGAATTATATGTATATAATATTTGCTTCTTTCAGCTGAGCACAAAGCTGGCCACATTAATTACCAGTATTTGTGTTATTCTTCCTCGAGGGCTACCGCCTTGTCGTGGAGAGGAGGTTAGCGTACCTCAATGGCACAGAGAACCATGCTGGCTGGAGTGTAAGCTCCTGGTAAGGCGATATATACCAGAATGGTCAAAGGGTAGGCACCAGCCGTAGTGTAGTACGTGGGTCTTCAGGTTGGGGGTTCGGTGTGGGGCTAGCGACCATATCCGAGAAAATATTACTTTAATGAAACTATGGGGAAGGCCAAGAACCACACAGGGTTGCAACGACAGTAAAGAAGAAGATTTGTGTTACTGTTGCATCACCCTTGTAAGGAATGGCCTTGTTGTGGTATGAACAGTATAGAAAGCATTCCATAGTGAAGACAGGCTGAATGGCTGGAACATTATTGTTGTGCATTTTGATATTAAATTTCATAAACAAAACGTCTACAGCCACAGTATTCTTCGATATTGAGAAAGCATTTGATACAACATGACACCTTGGCTTCCTATGTAAATTGTCGGAATTAAAAATTTTTGATCAGCCTAATCAAGCTTATTAGCTCTTTCCTCTCTCAGAGGATATTCAGAATTTTGAAAGTGAAATGTCTGGGGCAAAGGATATACAAGCAGGGGTGCCACAAGATTCCGTCCTGTCCCCCACATTTTACAGCATACTTATAAATGATATACTTCGAACACCTGGTGTCTATCTAAGTCTCTTTGCTTATGACACCAGTATATATATGACTGACTGCAGGGAGTATTATGTTCTCAGAAAGATGCAGCGAGGTTTCAGTGCTACTGAGACAAGGTGTCAGCACTGGAACATAAAAATCAATGATCATAAGGCTCAGTCCATCTACTTTTCTCATGTACTTACGTTCCCTGAGGCTTATCTTTCATCAAATGGAGAGAACAGCCCCTTCACCAATCCTGTGAAATATATCCATGTAATCTATGATAAAGAGGTTTACAGGAAGACTGCACATAGAAATGACTGAAGCCAAGGCCTTCCAAACATTTAATAGAATCGACTTCCTATTCAAAAGCGAGTGTTTAATCGCCAGCATTAAACTAAATCTTCATAAGGTACTGATCGGATGAATAAAGACTTCAGCTTGCCCTGGCTGTGAATTAGCGGCTCACACCAACCTCTTGAATTAACAGCTCTTACAAAACAAGGTTTCCCATGCTATTGGAAATTATCCAAGCTGCACACCATTCTGTGATTTGCACACAGTTTTCAACCTTCTGTGTGTGCTATATTATTGTATAACAAAATTGTTCAGGTAACATGATGAAGTCATACAAAATCGTGAGAATGAACATGGTCACAGCGTAGGACAAGGCGAAATCAGACAGAAAATATAAGAGGCTTAACTTGGCGGTGGTCAAGCTAACGACCGTTGACGTAGGATAGGCATGTGCTGTTTTGCAAAGCCTGGACTCACAGGGGACTTGTGTGTAATGCAAAAGGAAGAATTTTCAATGACACGCTACGTATGCGATATGTACACTTGACGAAAGGCCAAGCATGTTCATAAGAGACATACCAATCCTCTCAGGAGAAAGGATGTTACATGAGGACTATAACTGCAAAGGTTCAATATCTCTGGTTGTGAGTCTCAAGGGGTTTGGCGACAAAACGAACTTCCTGGTTGTCATGACGTCATGAAGTAACTTTGACTTTGATAGCAGTATAGTACTCAGAGTTCGGCTGCACGTCTCCCCGAGTCGGGAAACAGAAAAATATGGCCATGAGTCTTGCGCGACTCAAACCAAGAATTTCTGTTCTGGCAATTCCAAGAGCAATTTCCACAACAGCAAGATAATCTAGACTTCAAAACACTTAAACCATAACTCTTAAAATAGATTGTCATATAATAGCAACTAGATACTGGGTTTGGATTGATAACTGAATTTATTAAATGCTTATAACTCATAAATACAATAACTATTACATTGTCACTGATTTACACTAGAGAACACTAAAACTATGGCATACAACTGATAACTGAATTCATTAAATGCTTATAACTCATAAATACAAATAACTATTACATTGTCACTGATTTACACTAGAGAACACTAAAACTATGGCACACAACTGATAACTGAATTCATTAAATGCTTATAACTCATAAATACAAATAACTATTACATTGTCACTGATTTACACTAGAGAACACTAAAACTATGGCACACAACTGATAACTGAATTCATTAAATGCTTATAACTCATAAATACAAATAACTATTACATTGTCACTGATTTACACTAGAGAACACTAAAACTATGGCACACAACTGATAACTGAATTCATTAAATGCTTATAACTCATAAATACAAATAACTATTACATTGTCACTGATTTACACTAGAGAACACTAAAACTATGGCACACAACTGATAACTGAATTCATTAAATGCTTATAACTCATAAATACAAATAACTATTACATTGTCACTGATTTACACTAGAGAACACTAAAACTATGGCACACAACTGATAACTGAATTCATTAAATGCTTATAACTCATAAATACAAATAACTATTACATTGTCACTGATTTACACTAGAGAACACTAAAACTATGGCACACAACTGATAACTGAATTCATTAAATGCTTATAACTCATAAATACAAATAACTATTACATTGTCACTGATTTACACTAGAGAACACTAAAACTATGGCACACAACTGATAACTGAATTCATTAAATGCTTATAACTCATAAATACAAATAACTATTACATTGTCACTGATTTACACTAGAGAACACTAAAACTATGGCACACAACTGATAACTGAATTCATTAAATGCTTATAACTCATAAATACAAATAACTATTACATTGTCACTGATTTACACTAGAGAACACTAAAACTATGGCACACAACTGATAACTGAATTCATTAAATGCTTATAACTCATAAATACAAATAACTATTACATTGTCACTGATTTACACTAGAGAACACTAAAACTATGGCACACAACTGATAACTGAATTAATTAAATGCTTATAACTCATAAATACAAATAACTATTACATTGTCACTGATTTATACTATAGAACACTAAAACTATGGCACACAAAGTCTTCTGTTTTTCATTCTTTCATTACTAGTCATGTCAGTAGTCGTTTCTTGGTAGTGGCTACTAACAGTTGAACTGACGACTCTTGGAACTATTGCACCTGATTTCCTTATGCCAGCTGAAGTTTTATACAAAAAACATGGGATGGTCTGAAACAATTTCTTTCAAGACAGCACATATATGTTGCTGACTTTGTAGATCAGACAGCTTAATGTTCTCTCCCTCCAGGTACACACGAGCCCTCTTAGCAGCAAGATGTGCATAATATGTGGGTGCTGGATATGACACACTGCGTGTACAACGTGAGAACATATGACATAAGTAGTATGCAATCTTTTCAATTTCATTTTCTGTCATATTATCATCATCATTCCACAATAAATGATACTTGGTAGGTCTGCTAACACCCTGGATGCTGGCATGGCTAACCAGATAAAAGTCCACTTCAGTCGGGTGAGTAATTTCACGATCAACCACTGTACCGGGTGGAACGTTCTTATATCTTCCATCTGCATCCTCACTCCTTGGAAAGAATCGGGTGTGGTGACGTTTCTGCACCACCAGGAATGTCACTTTAGGTTCATATTCTTGGCCCAAAGAGAAACAAGCACGTCGAATTGCATTCACCTCGCTTTTCAAAACCTGTGCGAACTGTCCGTCACCTACACCATCTCGAAAAAATATTATCCTCTCTGGTTTGCAAGCAGACGTGTGTCTATAAAAGAACAGAAGCTGCTGTCGCATGATATTTTCCAGGTCTTCAATGATCTCTACCTTCGGAGGTTGTAATCTAATCTGGATGTTGTACTTGAAAGCCTTTGGATCATGGCTGGCAGTTACAGCAGCAACTGAAGGGATGCTAAGCTGATCCGGTGATGGATGTGTCACATCGGCTCCTACTATCATAACTGGGCGAAACAAACATAGTGGCCTTGATACTGAAGCAAACGTGTGGTTTATACCATTCAGCTTCGAGTTGATTTTCAATAGAATGTTGGAACATACAGCAGGATTCAAACGTGACATTGTTCTTCCCTTCACACATTGAGTCAATACTCCAATATTCAGCTCTGCTACTTTCTTCACTTTAGCATAGCAGTCTCCTCTATCAGGAACAACTACCACCACCAGCTGAACTTCTCTCTTCACTGTTTTAAAGAATTCCATTAGTTGAGATGTATTTTTTGTTGGAGGCTGCATACTCTTTGGAGGAGATGGAGGAGCAATGTCCATTCCCAAAGTTCGTCCTGCGTTCTGCATTTCAACTGCAAACCGTCTCATCTCATCTTCTGTTGTATATTTGTTTAAGTTCAGAACAATCCAGTGAGAAAGTTTGTTGCTGCTCAAAAATTTTAAGGGCCTCCAAACACCCTTCATAGGCTTAACAACATTTTTTTGGTCCACTTCAACATTATATTGTAACTGTGGTGCCTCTAGTACACGAGCCTCTACTTTTGCAAATCGGTCACTGACTGAGAGGCCAAACTCTTTCATACATGGGTCGTCATTGAATCTCGCAGACTGCAGCGCTTCCAGAATCTTTTGTTTCCTGATGTCAGTAGACGTTGTAGTGTTCTTTATCATGTTTGATATTTGTGTCTCATTCAATTTTCTGATTGTCACTTGACCCCTTGTCACCGTGCACAACTCTGCTGGAACATAGATTGGTCTGAGCCTATTCACGGAGCCAACATGAAGGCATGGGAGATGTGGATATGAAAGAATTATCTTCTTTGCATGGGCAAAGTATTCTACAACAGATATTCTTGTGTGATCATCCAATTCAAAGAACTGTTCAACTGGACTTTTTGTAATATTGTTCACTTTGTATGTCCTCTTGCTGGTTGGCACACCTGGAAGCATGTAATCAATCTTCAGGCCACGAATATAGTTCAAGAAGTCTTCCTTTTGCTTGATGGTTAGTTCTCTCTGAAGGTCTTCACGCCTGAGCTTGCATACCTCCAAAATTAGGTCTACAACATTTCTTGCTGAGGGGAAGCCTTTGTGAGCGACATCAATATTAACAAAGGGTTTCCATCCCAGGATGGCACTTTGAAAGAATCCATGCCACATTTCGACGCCATCACCTAGTTCCACTACTCGACCCTTTGGAGGACTAAAGAAAGAGCGTCCTGCCTGCACAAACCTGAAGGCTGACACATTGCGCAGTATAATATCAACAGCTTGAATGGCTTTTTGAGGAGGAAGAAGAGAAGCCCCACTAGCCGTGTACTGTACCAGAGACTGCAAATCAGCCTGAGATGCATACTTGATGGTAATCTTAAACTTTCTTTCTTTACCAGATTCATTATCACACAAAGCAATATGATCACACATCTCTCTGCCAAATGGCAGCTCTCCAGAGCTATACAAATTTTTCTTCCCGTCAAATGCTGGAAACCGTTTTGGATAATGTTTGAGCCTAAATTCTTCCATGGCACCCCTCAACATTCTCTGTGGAACTGAAGGCTCTAATGTTACATCATAATGTATGATAATGTTGTTTCGTACTCTTGACAAATCCAGTGCAAAATGATTAGTTTCAACAAGTATTGATTTCCCCAGAGTTCCACACTTATTCCAATCCTTTCTCATTGGTAATTGCAATGTCTGAATTAACTGGTTTGTTGTTTCAGCACCTGATGTATCACCTACAGTTCGCTGAGCAGTTCCTGCTGAAAGTGCTCCTTGTAAAGTACTTCCATGTACTGGTCCTTGTCTGTGTGGTCCTGTGTGGCCACTGCAAAAGCCAGAAGTACCAACAACTGCCCCCACCTGGTTTGGTAGTACTTGTTTCTGATGAAGCCTCATCTTCTGCTGCAGTGGTTGAGATGGTCTAGCACGTCCTTCAATACTTAAAAGCGTTTCCTGTCGTTGTTGTTGTTGTTGTTGTTGTTGTTGTTGTTGTTGCTGTTTAAGTTGTGATGGTTCGATTTGTGTAGTTTCACTTCCTTTCTGTCCAGTGCCAGTTTTCTCTGACCCCTCACATTGGTCTCCAGTTTTCTGCCTCCAAGATGTCTTTTGTACTTTCTTACCCATTTTGTTGAATCAAATTTTGGTAACGTGTTTTGCTACTGAAGACGGCGTTCGGACTGTTAATTGGTTCAATTAACAACCTACAAGTCTTGGCTACAATTAATTAGAACACTGTTACGGGTTTAAACACTTTAGAACCCTACACACAGATATCTTCACACTATCACGATTCACTTGTTACAACTGAACTCGGTGACTACTACAGTTCAACTGTGTTAGGCGGCTGCTATGTTTCAACTGACTCCTTAGACAGTGTAGCTCTCTTATAAACCCTCTCGGCATCCCCTGTTATGTCACTGTAGTCACCTGCCACGTCACAGTGGGAAGAACTGCCACGTCACTGCGGGGGCGAGGACGGAGCGCTGACCGGTACCGTCACGCTAGAAGCGGCAGCGCTGTTACGCAACATAACGAAAGAAATTATCACAATGTCATTTTCGAAGGATTACAGAAATTTTATGATAATATTTAACCCATGAAATATAATTCGCAGTGGACTTAATGAAAAAACGGATAATTAACCACTCCGGGTAAACAATAAACGGACGAACAAAATTTGGGTGAAAACACGGAAGAATCCGGGGAAAACGGGGTATCTGGGAACCCTATAGTAGAATAATTAAAAGGGGACGCACAAGATTAACAACTAGTCATAGTGCATGGGGAAACCCACCCCCTCCAAAATAATAATAAACAATAAATAACCTCGGGGCAGACCAAACAGAAAACAGCTTTTGCTAGAAATTCCTATGTTGCTATAGACGTATGTTTACCTCGCCGTTGCATAGAAACTGTAGTTCTCCTATTGTTACGCAGGAACTTGTTTACCGAGTTGTTGCCTAACAACGAAGTATTCTGGCTTTCAGTATAAGTTATTATGATTCTGAAAAGTGTGTAACGAGAAAAATGGGCCTAACAGGAAGGGTCAAGTAACTGGAGGAGATGTATTATTATTTCGCTTTCAGAGTAAATACCTGGTTGATCAGATCAAGGATCGAATGGGCTGTGGTGTAAACGCTGTATATTCTTAATCGGTACGTGCTTGGTTTGTGTCTCGGCTGTGACACCAACTTAGAGGGGGCGGCAACTGGAATAGGGGAAAGGGAAACACGGTAACTACTATATAATAAGGGAATGCGCACAATGTGCATAGAGTAATTGTTTTCTATTCGCGACTGTATTCGGTTATTGATGTGGTTAAGTTTTTGCATATGGTAATGTGGTATCTACTGCACTTTTTATCACAGTGTTTACACACACACGCGTCATTTGCTTCGTGGAAACGTTCGTTCTTACATATTTTGTGGTGGAATCCGTGTGTTGCCAACCTAGTAATTGTGTGTCGT